TTGTTTTCTTTAAAGTAAAAAGGTTAATTATCTCTGCAGATGATATGATCCTATATGTAGAAAATCCTAAAGATTTCACAAGCATCCCAGTAGAACTAATAAAAAATTTAACAGTTACAGGAAAAGAAAAATATTAACCCACAGTAACTGACTTACATATGTATACCATAACAATGAACAATCAAAAAGGAAAATAAGGAAAACAATTTTATTTATAACAGAATTAAATACACATATGAATAAATTAGGAGGAGATGAAAGACTTACACACTTGCAACTATAAAACTGTCCATAGATATTAAAGAGACAAATACATGGGCAGAGCTGGGGGTGCAGGTCAGTAGCACAGCGGTTACCTTGCCTGGGGGGTGGCTCTGGGTTTGATCTCCAGCACTGCAACAAAATAGATAGAAAAGAAAAAACATTGCTCATGCATTAGAGGCTCTAATACTGTTAAAATGTCCATACTGTCAGTGTAATCCATAGAGTTAATGCAACCCCTATTAATATTCCAATGATTATATATATATATATATTTGACAGAAATAGAAGTGATAAAATTCTTACAGAAACCTACAGAACCCTGTATAGCCAAAAAAAGTCTCTTTAAAACAAAAACAAAGATGGAGGCCTTACACTTTCCAAATTTTGAAATATATTACTATGTTATAATAATTAAAATCCCTATTAAGTACCACCTCCTGTTCCTTAGGGGAGCACCATTTTAAAAAAATACAGAAATTCACAAATGCTGTTGAGGACGTGGAAAAGCTGAAACACTTGTGCACTGTTTGTGGGAATGTAAAATGTTGCCACTGCTATGGAAAATAGTGTGGAGATTCCTCAAAGAATTAAAAATAGAATCATCATATGACCTAGCAACCTCCCTTGAGGGTATGAAGCCAAAGACTTGAAAACAGGATCCTGAAGAGAGATATTTGCGCACTCATGTTTATTACAGCATTGCTTGCAATAGCCAAGAAGCAACCTAAATGTCCATGAGCAAAAGAATAAATAAACAAAATGGGGCATACACATGGACTGGAATATGACCCATCTTTTAAGAAAAGGAAATCCTGTCACATACTGCACATACTTATTAAACCCTAAGGTCATTATGCAAGTGAAATGAGCCAGTCATAAAAAGATAAGACTGCATGAGCCCCTTACCTCAGGAAGTAGAAATAAGAAGCTGAGTGGTGTTTTCCACATTCTGGGGAGACAGGGGAGTGGGATTTGCTGTTCAGAGACCTAGAGCTCGGTTACAAAGATGAAGACTTCTAGAGCTCTGTTACTCAGCAGGGTGCACATGGTCTACAGTACAGCATCTGTACTAAAAAAAAAAATTGGAAAGATGGTTTTCCGTTATTTTTGTCTTGTTTTTTTTGTGTTTTTTGAGACAGGGTTTCACTATGCAGTTCACTTTGTAGCCCAGATTGGCCTCAGACTCACGGCAATCCTCCTGCCTCAGCCTTGTGAGTGCTGGGATTAGAGGTGTGTGCCACCATACCTTGCTCTGTTATGTTTTTATCACAATAATAAGAAAAAAAAATCAAATCTCTGGAATACCTGTGCAACATGTGTAGAGGTGGAAGTATAAACATTTTTTTGAGATGCTAAGACATCTACATACTGTTTTTAAAGGAATTAACCAGGTTTATGGATTGGAAGCCTCCATATTCTTCCATAATTTGAGCAGTAGATGGAATGTAACTTGAATCACAATGTCAGCTTTTTTTTTTTTTTTTGGTGGAATTTAAGAAGCACTCCCTAGAGCAGGGATGGCAAACCTTTTAGAGCTTTCAGTGATACAAACAGCCCACTGTGGCACGTGTGCCAGAGGTTCGCCACCACTGCTCTAGAGGCTACGAAGGTCCAAGTCCAAAGAGCTGGTGTCTGGAGGGAGGCTTCTTGCTGTGCAGTTGGCAGAAAGGACCACACGCTGGAAGGACAAAGGGAGGGTAGAAGAGGAAGCTGAACCCCCCTTTTATAATGAGCCCTCTCCTCCGTAATAAGGACCTTAATCCACTCACCCCGCCTCACCACCGGACGACCTCTCCCACTGTTACCCTGGGCATTAAGTTTCCAGCGCATGCTTCTGGGGACAACAATCCAATCACAACGATGAGCAAAGTGCTTGAACTGAGACAAACCCCATGGCCAATAAATATGCAAATGGTCCTTCTGTATTGAAATCACAACCAGACGGCGCCGTACACCAACTGGCCGCTGATTCCAAGGGTTGGTAAGGCTTCAGCGTGACAGAGACTGTGCACTGCTGGTGTAAACCACTGCGGGCGGTGGTGTGGCGGTGTCCCTGAAGGCTGAAGGTAAGCATACCGTGAGCCTCCAGTTCCGCCAGGAGGTGCAAATCTTCTCGTGTGTGTGTGCGTGTGTGTGTGTGTGTGCGTGTTTTGCAGAGCACTTGTGTATTCTCAGCAATGTGTTTGTGTCAGTCTGCTTTCTGTTACTGCACAAAATACCTGAGAGAGTGCACTATTAAACAGGAAGAGTTTATTTTGGCTCACTGCTTCGAGCAGCTCGGTCCAGGGACGGTGGCCCCGTGGGGCCTGTGGCGACACGGCAAGTTCATTCACTCTCGGAGGGCACACCCCGTGACTGCCAGGCCTCCCGGTAGGCCCTGCCTCCGAACGTTTCCGCCTCCTCCCAGAGGTGCAGCCTGGTCTCAGACTGCCCAGCTCCACAGCCCTGAAGAGCCCGTGACTGGCCGTGGTTTAAGCTATCAGGTCTGTGGGTTTTATGACAATGGGCCAAACTAAGACGACCCCAGGAATGGAAACAGCGGAAATGTCCATGGATAGTAGAATGGACTAGAAAGCGTACGTTCGTATCACAGACTTCACACTGCTGCAGAAATGAATTACAGATGCACGCAGGAACAGGGTCAAACTTTAGAGGCATGACGTTGAAAGAACCAGGTCTAATGCTACGCGCTCTGTGCGTGATTCCATTTCTGTGCGCTGTACAAACCTGCAGCTATGCCCTGACGGGACAGGACACTTGTTTCTCCAGTAAATTACAAAGTTGCTGAGGAGGTGCTGAGGGCGGATACCAGGTGGCGGAAATTCAGAGCAGGGGTCTGGAGGGGACGAGGTACGGGACAAAGCCTAGCAGTGTCCGGCAGGTGTTCGCATTACAGAACCTTGCTAAACTGAGGGTTTACATTTAACACACGCTTCTGGGTGTACATCACACTTCACGACAAAGAGGAGGACCAGGAAAGGGAGCGACCTGAGCGAGCATGAAAACCCTTTTCGCAGTTCGTTGCAAAGGAAGTTTGCTGAGGGGAAGTGGGAATGAGATCCCCTTTCTCTGGTTCCTCTGTGTACTGAGTGACATTTTCCTTGGCTGCCCCGCCACCGTCTCGTCGCCGGACTCTTATCCGGAGCTCGCACACCGGAAGGGGAGGCCCTTCCTCACCACCTGTCTTCTCTCGCTGCTTTCACCGCCAGACAAAGCCACGCCCTCGGTGAAGCCCTCTGCGCCGGCCCGCTGGGTCTGAGCCGATGCTGTCCTCAGAGGTGAGTTTTTCCGCGGCTTCCTGCTCCTGCTCCTCCTCATTGGATGCTGAGTATTGTGCACGGGACCACGTAGCATTCTGGAGAAAGAGTCTCGAGCTTTTTTTCTGAGAAGCAGTGAAGTTACTTAGACATTATTTGATCTTGGCAGGTCTCGCTTCTATGATTTGTTAGGTGAATTTGGAGCAGCGCTCAGTCCAGGACTAAGTCCAGGCTCCCCTCTGAGTACTCTGCCCAGCACCCAGTGAGTCTGGCAGGTATGAGCACTGGTCCCAGATGGGGGTGCTTCCTGGGGTGGTTTGGCCACCCCATACTCTTTCTTCACACGCGCGCTCCGCTGCGAGCTCAGGGCCGCTCTGCAGAGCTCCAGGGCTGTCTCCTGCTAGCTCTGTCCTGAAAACTCTGACCGTCTTGGTTGCTGGAGGGAGAGCCAGCGACGGACACCCTTGAGGAGACGGGGCAGGATCAGGAACACCAGTGAGGGTGAGCTCTATCCGAGGGCGAGACCAGCTGTGCTCAGGAAGAGAAGCTTCGGGCACAGTAGAGGCAGGCTGAGGTCTTGGAAGTTCTCTGAGGGTGGAGAACGAGTGGACTGGGGGACCCCTTGTGAGGCCAGCAGCAGGGAGGGGTGGGAGGGGGAGGGGGAGGGGTGGAGGCCCCTGCACAGACGCTCTCTTTTGGGCCCCTGACAGCTGCACATGTCATTAGGACGCTCGGGTCCTGCCTCCTGGTTACCACAGAAATAGGGCCCGCTGGCTTTACCCACTGAGGTCACCTTCATAACACTCAGTCTTCAGGTGCCCAATACCAGGCAAGCCTGCCCCATCCTGGGCCTGCACCCTCATGACCTGGGCCCAGCCATGTCCCAGCTGGGCTTCCTCTGGACAGGTGAGTCCACATGACCTGTCTACTTAGACGCAGAGGAACCCTGGCCACCCACAAGGGGCCCAGACCGCTGTGCTCCGGGGCCTCCCCCTGCCCGAGCACAGTGCTGGATCCTGGAGTGTCCCCCTCCCTCGCAGCCCTTGGAGGAGGATGGAAGAATCGCTCAGCTTCATCTCCCAGCCGTTGTCCCTCTCCTGCGGCAGAAGCAGCCCAGGCGACAGGGCTTTACAGCCATCCCAGGGGCAGGTGCCTGGCCACGGTGCGGTGTCCTTGGCTCTGTCCCTGAAGGTCGCCAGCTAGGATGCCGGTCTACCTGCGGGCTCGGACTGCAGCCTCCTTGTGCGCCCTGTCGCGTCAGAGACACCCGCACTGACAACTCAGCCCGGCCGTCTTCCCAGCCCTTTGGCTGGACGCAGCCCTCATCTCACGCGTGCTCCGGGCTGGCCTCCCTGCTGAGGCGTCTCCTGACCCAGGCCGCCAGGAGACCGACCAGACCTTCACAGCTCATGCCTGAGCAGCTGAGGAGCAGGAAAGCTTCTGCAGGCTCTCAGGGAAGCTGGGCTGTGACCCATAAGTCCTTCTTCAGCGAGATTTCCACCGAGAAGAGGGTGCAGACCCATCACCCTCTCACCATGGCAATGGAGCCGGCCCTAAGTGCCAGGCTGAGGGAGCTTCGGGGCTCACCAGCTCACAGAGCAGGACAAGCAGCTGCTGACACGGCGAGGTGCCAGATCAGTGACAGTAAGAAAGAGGGACTTCCCGGCAGGAGAGTCCGGGAATTCGCAAGGCGGCAGAAGCATGGGGCCAGGCCCTGGGGACAGACAGGATGCGGACAGACGGCAGGGAGGAAGGGTCACGGGGAGTGTGAATCAGGCTGCCTGCCCCCTGTGGAGGGAGGGCTTGGAGGAGGGCAGGCTGCAGGCCCAGGAGGGTGGGGAGGCCTGGCTCAGAACTGGGTCCTGCGGCTGAGCCTGCACATGGACGAGGGTGTGGAGGGGACTTCTGCCAGGAAGTGTCATGCCTGCAGCTACCCCGGTTCCACAGGGCTGGACCTGCCAGAGCCCCAGGCTGGTTCTGAGCACAAATCAAAAACAGGTTTGCTGGTGAGTCAGTGGCCGGGAGCACGCAGCCAGAAACTGGCTTCCTGGAGGTCCCTTCCCCTCCGCCCTGCGGGGCGGGCAGCCGCCCGCTCTCCGGCTGTGGCCACAGTCCTGCCACGCTGACCAGCGGCGGCTTACGCTCAGCCTGCCCAGTCCCAGCCCCTGTGCCCCCAAGCAGCAGCCCCCTGGGCGCCTGCCTGCATGGGTGACCACCCTGGCGCAGAGGCTAGACAGAGGCAGGACGCATGCTGGGCTGGGAGGGCTGGAGGGGGCACAGTGGGGGCAGGGCCTGGCCAAGCTTCTGCTGAAATCTTGTTCAAAACCACAGCCAGGCAGGGCTTTGTAGGAAAATATTCCTTCCTCGGGACATCGCTGTTCTCCCTCCTGAATCACCCGGCCACTTCCTTCCTGCGTGTGTCTCACGCTAGCGTGTGGCGGGGTGTGCTGGGGTGTGCTTTTTGTTTCTGGTAAGCTTCGTCTGTTCTATCCCTCCACTGAGTTGTAGGCACTCAGGGTGGGGCTGCTGCTCAGCGGACGTGGTGAGAAGGGGACGCGCCTTGGGCTCACAGCGGGGACCCCCATCTGCGCTGAGCGGCTCTGGGGCTTCTACAGAGAAAACAGATAGGAAAGCAGCGCAGCCAGGCGGAAGGGCCGCCTGGGCTGCAGCCTCCCAGGCCCTTTCCTGCAGGCACCGGCCGCCTGGCCTGCAGCGAGGCGGGCCAGGCCGCGGCCCCACCCAGGTCTTTCCATCCTGTGCTAAAAACGTCTGTCCACCTGCTTCCTGAGAAGTCAAGGAGCTCGGGGTTGTTACTTTTTTTTCTCTCAAAGTAAACAAAATATGAGACAGTAGCCCAAAAGTCTGGCTGTGAACCACAGGAAGTGACGAAAGCTGCATGGCAACTTCATGTAAGTGTATGCACGTGTGTACAGATGGATGGATGTTGACAGGCATACACACACGTGTAAACCCAGTGTTCTTACAGGGGATACCGTTTTCATGAGAAGCACCCACCCTCCTGTGTGACACAGGCACCCGACAGATGATGCGTTCGTGTTTGGTGTGTGTATGTACGGGGCGATCGAAAACCGCGGTGAACGTTTAAATTAAAAAGTTGCTGCAGTGCAGACACAGTGCCGTGAAGCTCCATGAGTCCTTTACGGTAATAAGCTGGTCTGGAAAAGCTAACACCGTATTTTTCAGTCACCCCTCTTCTGCATGTCTGTGCGGATCTACAGGGTCCCCAACTGAGTGGTTTGACCTTTCAGCTTCACAATGCCATGAGAGCTATGTCCAGTCAGTAAAAACTCTGAATTTTGGATTTTGAATTCCGGTCCTTTGGAGGCCAGTGGTATGCGGTGTGACCCTTTCTCAGAATCCCAGGCCCACCCAGCCACACAAGGAGGAGGAGGACAACAGACCCCAGCGTGTGCTGTGTGGCCAGGCTGTGACATTTGGTAGGTTAGGTGACCCAGTGCATTTTCCATTGATGACATTTTTCACTTATTTGGCTTATTTTAAACTTATTTGTGACATTTTGACTTTTGTATTTATGGGCTTGTAACCCTGTAGCAAGTTGAGGAATATCTGTATATACATACATGCATGTATATGCATCTACATGTATGTAAACAGATGTGTAAATATGTAAATATATGTGCATATGCAGCACATGTAAATATATGTGTATGCACACACATTTGTAACCAGTGTCATGGTCATGAAATGACACCTATCCTATGGTGTTACACATTCAACTCTGTGATTTACCCTCTCCGAGAGGATGTCCAGACCTTAGGGGTTCAGGATCTGAAGGGGAATTGTGTCTGTGGGGTCCCAGCCATCCCCATGTTTGGTCCTTGTGCCCCTGCTCCACCTGGCCCCACATGTGCATGCACGTGGTCCTGAAGGACAGAGGCAGCACCTCTTCCCAGAGCCTCTGAGAGCACACCTTGGAAATCCCCTCCCTTCCCTGGTCTCTGGGGCTCCTTAGGGGATGAAATTTCTAGGACCCTAGTATGAGCAGAGCCTGCGTCTCCAGAGACATGGCAACTTGTTCATCCTGAGCCCCTCTGAACCCCTCTGAGTTCTTGTTTCCTCTGAGTGCAGAGGGCGACAACTTCCCGTGCACAGCAGGGCCTCTGATGGTTCGTGCCTGTCAAATGCTTGCCAGGACTCCTGGTGTGCTCCCATTTCACACAGGACTTCTGGCCTCACCTGCCCACTACTCCGTGTGCCCAAGGATGGCCACAGATCAGGAGGCTGTGCTCAGGGAAGAGTGCCTGGGACTGTGGCACGCTCTGTATGGCTGTGACAGCCATGCCACGTGACCGTGTTACCTCCCTGGGAAGGGCTGATCCCTTTTGAATAGCCACTGTCTGGGAGACCGCTGCAGGCAAGTGCAGGAACTAAATACCCAGCTCCTTGTCCTCTAGAGCTTGGGCCCCAGGCTGCAGGGACTTGGGCGTCCCCCTCATCGGCACCTTGCAGGACTGTTGCAAGGTAGAGCTGCCAGGTCACACGGCCACCCCTGGAAGAGGGGGTGCATGGTGCGTGCTGAGGGGGCTCACCGGCAGGATGCCTTCCAGTGTGGGAGCCACCAGCCCTGCTCTCCAAGGTCATCTGGGGTAGGTTCATCGTCCTTTTTGGAACTGACATGGAATGTGCACAAAGGATGGAGACAGATGACATTTATCACCTTTCTATGGAAAGACAGTCACCAGACCAGGTTCAAGATCTAGCCTAACTGCAAAGCGTCACACTGTCACCCCCATTGGTGGCTACCCACCAAGCCAGAGGGTCTGGGAGTGCTGGCTGTCGGGGTGGCCTTGCAGGAGCCCAGCATGGACAGTGCATCAGGGCAGCTAGATGTCTCTCTCTGCATTGCCCCATGGTGGGGTTTGCTTGGTTCTTGAAGCCATCTGTAGCTCCCAAGTTCAGGATGAGGCATGGCCAGCGAAGGGCTGCCTCAGTATGTGTGGGGCAGCCGTGACAGGGGCGCTCCTTGAGTCCCTTTTCCCTGCTGGGCACTCCTCCTCCCACTCTTGTTGCCAGGTTTAGCAAATAAAAACATAGGACACCGTTTATATTTGATTTTTAATAGATACTGGCATTTCGTTTCAGTGTAAGTATGTCCTGACGGTTGCAGGGGGATGTTGGGCTTCTGAACCTGAAGTCTACATGTGCCAGAAGCTGAGCTCCGGCCCTGGGTGAGCCAGGGCTGCCTACCAGGCCACAGGGCCGTATGCAGATGGTAGGTATGAGCCCTGTCCCGCTGGCCTGGGAGAGAGAAGCTACGGCCGCCTCCAGAGAGCCGGCAGCTCTGCTGTGCAAGCAAGGGCTGCAGGCTCCTGTGGCCTGGGAAATCCCCTCCGCCAAGCTCACTTGGGAAATCTCGGTTCCCCAAGCCCTGGCACACACCAGCACCTGGCCCTGTAGTGCACACGGGACACCACAAGCTGACCCTGGGGCCGCCCATGCCAGAAGAGCCAGGGTCCTCTAGCTGGCTGAGGACCACGGGGCCCCTGCACGTCAGGACAAGGGCCTGGAGGGAAGGGAGGACCACACGGGAGGACAGGGCCGGGACAGAGCCACCCGAACAAAGGGACTGTCTTCTCTGTCCCACAGCGGGGCTGGGAACTGACTTTTTCACTGACAGATTTGCCTGCCCTCGATTTAAAGAGGGATCTTAGTACAGTCAGTTTACCAGCTGTTACGGTTTGTGTCTGGATGACCCCCCAAAGCCTCATGCAGTCATGGGACGGGCTTCTAGAGCTTGTGATCGATCCATGGTCCAATGCTGGGATTATGGGTGTGAGTGCCACACCTGCCCAGGGGTGGAAAGCCTGCATACAACGTAAGGGAGGGAAACAGGCTTGCTCTTTCCACTGCTCCGCCCCTTCTGCTCTCACTGCTTTTGCTGTTTTCTGCCGCCACGAACTGCTGCCCTCTGCCATGTGCACTCTGCCTTGGAGCCAGCCAAGTATGGGCTGAAACCTCCACAAACTGTGAACCAAATAAATCTTCCCTCCCTTAATTCAGGGAGTCAGGTATTTTGCCCCAGCAATGAGGGGAAAGTAACTAAGACACCAGCTTAGGAGAATCCTGTGTTGAGCTTTGTAGGCCTGGCTTAGTCAGTCTCTTCGTTGCTGGGACAAAACACCAGACAGCCACAGTTCAAAGCAGGGAAGGTTTATCTTGGCTCACATTTCAGTCTGTACTTGGCTGGCTCCAAGGCAGGGCAGAGGTGCAGGGCACAGGAAGGCAGCTTGCCTCAGGTTGTCAGGAAGCAGAGAGGAGGAGCTGGGGAGGAAGTCCACCCTTTCCGGCCACGCCCCAGAGACCCGCCTCTCCCATCGAGGCCCCACCTAACAGCAACTCAGTTATAAGCCTGCAGGGTGCCACCCTCTTCTGCAAGTCTGGATTGCCCGTCTGGATTGTATGTCCTTCCAGGCCCCTGGGAGGTGACACTTCCGGATCCCTTGCAGTTAGTGGGGTCAGGTGACAGATATTGGCGGTGTACCAGGAGCTTCCACCCCACTGTGAGGCAGTAGGGGACATGTAGATATAAACCGTGACAAGGCAAAACCCAATTAGTTCCTGTGTCGTGCAGGATTTATTTCCAGGTGCGACGGTTTGACAACGCTGTTCAAACCAATTAAACAGAAGAAATGTATGGGCTGTGTTGCTGAGTCACAGCTTCAGGAAGAGTTAGATCCAGAAGCTCAGGTTGTTCTCCGGCCCTCTCCCTCCCTTTTTCTCCTCCTCCCTCCCTCTCTTCAGAATTCTGTTCTGTTTTCACTACTTTTTTAGCATCTCCTCAGACCAGCTTCCCCACATGGTGGCACACTGACCGTCAACAACACTCCTAAAGAAACCGGAGAATCTAAGTTAGAGTAAGGCCCTCACAATAGTCCCTGTGATGTCTGATTGGCCCCACTTGGGCCCAGCCCGGACTGCTCCCTGTGGCTGGAGAGGCAGCACTCTGGCTGGCCCTGGATCACAA